CTGCTTCATATTTTTATTTGAATTCGATACGCAGGGAACGCTAACGGTTATCCGAAGTAGTTCCATACGAATTGAAATCGATTAAAAACAGATAAGGATATAAAACTTAGTTTTCCAAAGTCACAGGTTATCTGTTAGCTTTCCACGTAATAGAATAAAACTTTTTTCCTCGACTTCCTTTATGATTTGTTCATGAAACAAAGTGAAAAAGAATATTGTTTCCTCAACATTTGTAAATCAACATCGCAATAAAATATGAAACAATAGTTCTTATATTGGTGTTATTACTTATTACTTACAATACTTATTAGTTTTTTTTCTTGTTTTGTAGAGATACTTTGAAATCTGTTTTGCTAATTTGCATGATATAAATAAATAAAATTCGATCAAGACTTCGAAAAAAATGACAAATAATACAAATTAATTTGTACTTCTAATTTATAATCCAATATCCATTCAAATTTCTTGGAGTGTTATTGGGGCAGAATAATAAACGAATTTGTTTTGAAAATACATTGATTGCTATAGTATATTTTTAATTTATCGAATTGTTATTTCCTTAGTAGAAACTCAACTACTCGTATTTTACCATTGTACTAATACACCTGAAGTCCAATATTATTAGTGCAATGACTTCTTTACACACCAATGGTGACATAATCCAATGGTAAAATATCAATGGTTATAATATCCCCAATATATAATCAGCTTTGGTCTTTGATTGTCTCCAAATTGTGATTTTATCCAAGAGTATAGCTACTTCTCACCTTAATGTAAATATTAATTGTCTCTATGATGTTAGTAGACTCATCAACAGAAATGCGAATACTAAACGATTCCCATCCCGTCGGGTATCAGGTTGATGTTCGTGCCCCACTGGGCAATTCCGACCACTGCTTGATATCCACCAAAGTGCCGCGAATCGAGCCCCCTCAACCTCCGAGGACACGACGACGCGTATGGCACTATGGCTCAGCAGATTGGGACGGCATGCGCGAGTACTTTGCATCCGTTCCTTGGAAGCAGCGCTGCTTTTGTGAGAAGGATCCGACAACGAGCGCCGTTGCTATTACTGAGGAGATCGGTATTGCTATGGAATACTACATTCCGCACTCCAATCTGATCAGTATGGGCAAACACAACCGCTGGTTCAATCGCGATTGTGCTAACGCTGTTGCGTCTAAACAGCTGACATATCGAGCTTGGATCAGGGGTCGTGCTCAGAGGGATCCCGATATTGACTCAATAAAAGCGGCCTACATTCAGGCTTCCAAGTCCTGTAAGAGGGCTTACATCAGAGCGGATGCCCAGCGCGTCGCACGTATAGGCCATGAGTTAGTTACGCACCCTACGGGCTCCCGTAGCTACTGGCGTCTCGCCAAGGCCGTGCAAAACAATTTTTGCCAGCCTTCGCTGCCACCGTTTCGATGTCCAGATGGAACATTAGCTCACAAGCCGCAGGGGAAAGCCGACCTCTTGGCAAGCCTCTTCGCGGCTAATTCCCAAATCGATGACTGTAATGCACTGCCACCAACGATACCTTCTTGTGGCTTCACTATGCCTGATATTCATATCAGGCAGCGTGATGTGCGTGCGGAACTACAGTCACTCGATGTCCGGAAAGCTAGTGGTCCTGATGGCATACCTGCGGTTGTTGTAAAAATGTGAGCAGCGGAGTTGACGCCCGTACTTACGCGCCTATACCAGCTATCTCTTTCTTCGGGTCGTGTACCTGAGGCTTGGAGAGAGGCCATTGTGCAGCCAGTGCCCAAAAAGGGAGATCGGTCAGACCCTGCAAACTACCGCCCTATAGCTATTACCTATGTGCTGTGTAAAGTCCTGGAAAGAATTATTAACTCCCAACTGATCCGATACCTAGAAGATCACTCCCTTGTAAATGATCGTCAGTATGGCTTTAGACCAAAACGATCAACTGGTGATCTTCTAGCGCACGTCATGCACCTCTGGGGTGAAGCTATCGACAAGCGCGGCGAGTCCTTGGCTGTCAGTCTTGACATTGCTAAGGCATTTGACAGGGTTTGACACAAGGGACTTCTCTCCAAGCTTCCGGCCTACGGTCTGCCCGTTCAACTCTGCGCCTGGATAGCCGACTTCCTGCGTGAGCGTAAAATCCGTGTTCTTTCTGACGGATGCTCTTCACAGCTTATGTACGGTCAACTCCGGTGTGCCTCAGGGCTCCGTTCTATCCCCTACACTTTTTCTGCTGCATATCAATGACATGCTTCCACTTGGAAATATCCATTGCTATGCAGACGATAGCACAGTGCATGTGGGATATCACGGGGCTCCTACGGTCGGACGGGCGGAAATCCTGGAGAAAAGGGAGAATCTTGTCATTGAGCTCAATCACGTTCTGGATCTCATATCGAAATGGGGTGCTGAAAACCTGGTTGAGTTCAATGCCAAGAAAACTCAGGTCTGCGTATTTACCGCCAAGACCCCTCCCATTCCCTTCCCTTCCCTCTCTTCAGGGCACAACCTTGCCTCTACAGAGCAGCATCAACATGCTCGGGATGGAAGTGCGCTGTGATCTGAATCCCAAAAACCACATCGAGTCTGTTATTAAAACAGCATCACGTAAACTCGGTGTCCTGAACAAGGTGCGGCGTTTTTTCACGCCCGAACAACTGTGCCTGCTATACAAAACGCAGGTCCGGTCATGCGTGGAGTATTGCTCGCACCTTTGGGATGGCTCCGCTAGGTACTTACTCGATGCTTTGGATAGATTGCAGCGCCGCGCAGTACGCATTATTGGCAATGGTGAAGTCACCAAGAACCTAGAAAGCCTGCAACTGCGCCGAGACGTTGCTTCGCTCAGCGTCTTCTACCGTCTCTACCATGGTGAATGCTCTGAAGAACTCTTTTCCCTTATCCCCCCATCTCCCTTCCTCCTCAGGACCACACGTGCTGGTTTGCGTTGCCACCAACTAACTGTGGCAACGATTCCTTCGCGTACAAAGAAATTTGGCGACTCATTTCTTTGTCGTACTTCCAAAAAATGGAATTGTCTCCCGGCCCATGTATTCCCTCCTTCCTATGACATAGGGTCCTTCAAGCGGGGCGTGAAGAAGCACCTTGCAGGTCGGCAAGGTGAGGTTGGCTAGTGCAGTACCTACGTACTGTTTTCACTAGCTGTCTTCGCGTTTGGACTGCGCCTCCACTTACCATCAGGTGGAGCGCCCTCCATTTTATATAAAAAAAAAAAAAATTCCAGAGTTTGTATTTGCTAAGTTCGGAGAAAAATGTTAGATTGTAAAATATTAATAATATTAAAATGAAGTTACTTAAAGAAAATCATACTATGTATTATATAGGGTAATATTAAGACCTTTTCATACATTTGAACTTATAATAGGTACATATGAAATTGGTGTTTGGTATTGGAGGAACAAAAAGTCGAATATTTTTTAATATAATATGTATATTTATTTAATTAAAGTAAAAACCATTGTTATCTATGCACTATTGTCATTTCATGGGTAGTTCATTGATTCCCTTACTAAAAATCCATTCTGACGGGAATCTATAAAATCTTTAAAGCGATTTGCACTGCCCCATCGGAGTTGAATTTTTTCCCTTGCAAGAAGTTATCCAAATTTCGATAAAAATGGTAATCTGTTGGAGCAAGGTCCGGGGAGTACGGTGGATGTCTTAGACATTTCAATTGAAGCTCTTCTAATATGGTAGCCGTCTGTTGTGTAGTGAGTGGTCTAGCGTTGTCGTGAAGTAGCAGTGGCGTAAAGCGATTGACCAGCCTCGGTTGTTTAACAGCTAGTTCTTCCAGCATGGTTTGCAATTGCTGACAATAGACGTCTGCCGTAATCGCCTGGCCAGATTTGAGAAAACTGTAATGAACGACACCGGCACTAGTCCACCAAACGCTTACAAGTAACTTTTTTGGGGTCAATTTTCGCTTGGGGCAGGATTTGGCTGGCATGCCAGGGTCCTACCATTGCGATGAGCGCTTCTGATTATCGTAGAGAATCCACTTACCATCACAGGTAACGATTCGATTTAAAAACCCTTCATTATTGTGCCGTTTAAGTAATGTAACGAAGCAGTCGAAGCGCGTTTGCCGGTTTGCTTCACTCAATTCGTGAGGTTTCCACCTATCAAGCTTTTTAATATTTCCAATTTGCTTCAAGTGGATTAAAACAGTTTTATCACTAGCACCGCAGCCTGCAGCTTACTCGGGCGTGGTTTGCGATGGATCCGCTTCAACAACAGCTTTCAATTTTTCATTATTAACTTGGGTCTTCGGCCGTCCACGGGGCTTGTTCTGCAGGTCGAAATTTCCAGAACGAAAACGTTGGAACCAAAAACGCACTGTGTTTTCTTTTGCGACACAACCACCATACACATCTTTTAAAACAAACAGCACTACAATAGACCTAGATTATAGTGAAATTCATATTAATCTTAATGCAGAAAATCTGGAGGAGTAAAAAATGTTCAAAGGCCAGTCACATAACATTAAATATAATCCAAAAGAAATTGCAGTAAGGAACCTTAGACTTGGCTCAACTTTGTTTAGATATTTCGTTACATTTTAGAGATAAACAAGTAGCTCCATCTTGACTTGGCAATGTTTTACAGGATGTTTTTAATAGGTCAAATTGTATGATGTAATAAAACTTATATTTTGGGTGATCAGTTATTTAATTTAATGGGAAAGAATATTTGTTTTTTAATTACGAAAAAACGCGACATAAATAAGATTAAATTTACCACACAATGTAATTCCTTAACTTTAAGTGCGTTAACAAAACCCTTAGGGATTAGAATTCAAAGATCCACGCATACGTATCGGACAAGCTAATGAATAATAAATTTGACCCGAACTACTCCATGGATTCTGTATTCTAGTAAATTTTCTACGATCTGCAATGTTTTATGACCAAACGCTATCTGCCAGTCAGTAAGTGCGTTGTATAATGTGACATGCTATTGTAAAAGAAGGAAAAAATATTTCAAAAAAGATGAGTGCTCTCGAGAAAATGGAAAATGTCAGGCCAAGTACGTATTTTAATCCTTACCTTATTACCTATTTCTACTTATTACTTCTAGTATCCCGTTTATTTTACCCGTTTGAGTTACATGATTTTCAACCCCTAATTAACCCGCATATCTGTATATGTGTTGAACATTTCGAAGCTATTTCTTATCGATACTCCACGCCAGAATAATGATTTGTGTGCAAAATTTCAGCGCAATCTATTAGCTATGTTAATAGATCAGTTATCCACCTTTGCCCATCATATACATGGAATATTGCTTTAGTCTATTTGTTTATGACTTTATTAATATTATGACAAGTTTTTATGAGCACCTCGATGGCGTAGTGGGTGCCGCGGTTCGCCATCATATTATTAAACAGCTTTCGCAAGGGTCATGGGATGGGTAAGCAAAAAATTATTATCTCGAGCTACGCCGTGCTTCGGAAGGCACGTTTAAATCTCGGAGCCGGCTGCATATGCAGTTTTATCCTCCAATCCGTATTGGGCCAGCGTGGAGAGTCATGGGCATTCCTCCCTAATCATCCATAAGGAAGGCCTGAGCCACTGCAGTGGGGACGTAACAAGGCTGATCATAATGAAACATATAAAAGATCTTATTATTTATCTCTAAATAAGTTCTGATAGCTTAAATATTTTTTGTTTAAAAACAGTCGCCTGATTTACTAAAGCTTATAGTTTTGAAACCTATGTTTTCGGTTTTTTTTTTCATCAACATTAATAGAGCAAAGTGAAAAATATTAAAAATATAGAATTGAACACATACAATTTTAGAATTTTTAAATGTCAGAGTTAATATCGATGACAGATCAATTAAGACTACAACGCAATGGAAATCAACAAGTAAACTGTTCATTACGCTGAGGATGCTAGTTTATTATCAGTAACTTTAAGATGACAAACTAATGAAAGCCCTTTGGCTTTGTTTGGTCTAAAATATTTCGTAATAATATTAACTTAGCCTAAGTTAATTTAAAATACGATTCACCCACGGAGTAAGTTGAAAGAAACTGATATATTGTAGCCAGTATCATAATCGTCCGCCTATCAACGTGTCCACTGCAAGGGCAAAGCCCTTCTTAATGAATGGAATCGAATAGAGAAAAAAGGTCACGACCTATCACGACTCGTCGGGTCCAGTACTGATTGGTGTTGACGATTGCAAATGCAGCCAGGGCCAAAGGGTTAACTTGCCCTCTGAATCACAAAGAAGCTCGAGATAATAAATTTATGGTCACCCATCCTATGCCCTTGCGAAAGTTGCTTAACAAAAGTGTCACATACTGAATGCACTAACCACAGCGCCATCAAGTTATTGCAGCCAGTTATTATTCTACCTCATTATTTACGGGATGGGCCACTGTCACCACAACCTTCACAAATAGGCCTACAAGATTTCGAATGCCTGCTACTGTGAGACACAAGCCCAACCCATCGTTCATATAATAAAGGAGTATCCTAAAAGACCGTTTCCTGGGGTAATCTAAAACTTGGCAAAACATTGGCTACTGACACCATACCAATGTTTTCAATGCGAAAGTAACTTTGAGTATTCGTGTGTATGTTACATTTTGACGACTAAATTACTGAACCAATTCTAATGGATGTGTGTGTACCAAATTTTCTTAAAAAATTGTTTAGCCGTTTAAGCTTTAATATACTGAATGAATTTTGGATGATTTTTAAGGCGATAACAACTAAGTTCCACGCGGACGCAGCGGAAAGCTAGCAATTAATATTGATAATAATATATTTATTATTCGCAAAGACAAAATTATGCAAAATAATTATTATTTATGGAAACAGTGATTGTAATAGCAATATTTGACTTCATTTTTACAAACCATCAATAAAGCAAGCTAAAAGTCATGAAAAGATATTGTATTTTTCAGATGGACTTGGTGTACGGCATGTACAAACATTGTTGTTATTTTTTGGTATGCTACTGGCTTTTACAATGAGAGTGAACATGAGCATAGCCATCGTGGCAATGACAGCCAACTCCACGGGTAATGTTACAGAAAATTATGTAAGTACTTAAGTTTAAGCCATCAGTGGGATCCTTAGCACGAAAACCTATCAAGCATACCAATTAGTTGTTGTATCCAGTTAAATTAAATTAGATGGCGCATTAAAAAAATATCATCTGTGAACGATTCGCACTGAATAAGTTTCATGCTAAGGGTAATTAGCCCGAAAGGTAATTTAAAGCTAAAGGTATATTAATTTACAAAATTGTAGGTGAGCTCGATCTAAAGCAAAAAAATTGAAAAGAGTTGAAGTTTAATGAATTAGGTCATTATTTATGGTTAAAATACTGAAGGCTTCCAAAACGAAATTCTGATTTTTTTCGAAACGCTAATAGTATTCCAAAGAAAGGCATTTTTCAATCATTTATGATGCAACGGAGGGAGGACCTGACACTGTATCGTCTGTACAGAAAATTTTTAATAAATGATTTTTACAAAATTATAAAAAACAATTTGAAATTTCCTACAATTTCGTTCATGGACAAACATAATAGTCTCCGTCGTTTGTTTTTGAAGTAGAACGGGGTTGAAGTACAGTTTGGAACGAGTTCGAGACGAATCTGTAAATTACTATAGTTTTCGTATTTAAACCAGGGTGCTGGAATTTTGAATGTGTCAATTGACTACCGTGTTACCAGCTACTTCGTGTTCTATCATGGTGTTTGCAATAGCGCTATACGATAGCAATCCCTTAATTAACAACCATTCTAATGTAAAATTAATTTGAAAATGTTAAAGTTATAGTTCGATTTGATTTCAAGATTCTTTGTTTTGGAATTACTGCTTCGCCCTAAAAATATTAGTTCCTTACATATGAAATTGCTATTTGGTATGGGAGGAACAAAAAGTCGCATATTTTTTAATATGATTATTTTTCCCCAAACTATAAACCATTATTATCTATGCACTTTTACCATCTCATCGGTTTGATCCCCTTACTAAAAAAACCATTCGGACGGGAATCAATAAAATCTTTGAAGGTGATTTGCACTGCCCCATAGGAGTTAAATTTTTTCCCTTGCAAGAAGTTATCCAAATTTCGATAAAAATGGTAATCTGTTGGAGCAAGGTCCGGGAAGTCGGTGGATGTCTTAGATATTCCAATTGAAGCTCTACTAATTTGGTGGCCGTCTGTTGTGCAGTGTGTGGTTTAGCGATGTCGAAAAGTAGCAGTGGCGTGGAGCGATAGAACAGCCTCGGTTGTTAACAGCTTGTTTTTCCACCATGGATTGCTTTTACAATAGCCTTCAATTCTTCATTATTAACTTGTGTCTCCGGCCGTCCACGGGGCTTGTTCTGCAGGTCGAAATTTCCAGAACGAAAACGTTGGAACCAAAAGCGCACTGTGTTTTCTTTTGCGACACAACCGCCATACACATCATTAACTCTTCGAGCCGTTTCCGAAGCACTGGTACCACGGTGGAACTCGTACTCGTAAATAACACGATATTTCAAGTTTTCAATTTTTTATACTGGGTGACGTAAAAAGGGAAAAAAACTAAAGAAAAAAATAATAATATACATGTGTAAATGGCTGTATAAATTTGAATATGGAATTCCCAACCAAGGAGGAGTAATTTGTGATAAAAGTGCGCAGTACTACAAAACGCCAATTTCATATGTAAGGATCTAATATATAACAATGTGTACTCTCTCTTAGTGAAGAAAACGTACTGTATTCATTCATAACAGAAATATTAAATGAGAAGAGAGAATGAAACTCCAATTAAGATTTAAATATTAATTAATAAAAATGTTAATTAGATTTAAGGAACGGAGCGGAGGGTATATTTGTCGGACCTTGACTAGAATTCAAATGGAGGAATTAATTTATTGAAATGAGATATGGATCTGATATATTTAATTACTTTTATATTTCGTTGATACAAAAGTTATTAAAAGTACGGATTTAACAATGCGGTTTTAACGATATCAAATTTGAAGTCGCGTTGGTACTAGACAGTCGACAGGGAAGTACAGAGGAATAAGATGTTATTTTTTTCTTTACAGTTATAGTCATTTGTAAAGTAGCTCGGTGGCGTAGTGGATAAGCGCCGCGGCCCGCGATCGTAGTCGTTAAGCAACTTTCGCAAGGGTCGGTCACGGAATGGGTGACAAAAAATTATTATCTCGAGCTACTCCGTGCTTCGGAAGGCACGTTAAGCCGTTGGTCCCGGCTGCATTTGCAGTCGTTAATACCCTCCAATCCGCATTGGGCCAGCGTGGAGGGTCATGGCCCATCCTCCTTAACCATCCATAAGGAAGGCCTGAGCCCCTGCAGTGGGGACGTAAAAGGGCTGATGATGTGATGTGATAGTTATTTGTGGGATTGCTTCCATGTACTTTATTTTCATCTTATATCAAGCACCATGATAATGGAGTAATATAAAATCTTATCACTTAGTCAATTTTGACAGGATAGAACTGCCAATAATGTTTTGGGGGGTATTCAGTTATATAAATAGCTTAGATAGCTAAGTGTCATTATCAAATAAATTTAACGAATTTTTCAATAAAAGGTTATATGTTCGCTACAAGCTCTCGCGTCCTGTCTAAACACTATTATAGATATTACTTAACCAAGTTACTAAACTAAGGTAGAAAGGTATCCATATACTGATTAAGAGAAAACTTAGGCCACTTCTATTTTTATTATTCAATGTTAAATTTTTCTTGTGTATTGTTTATTTAGTTGAATTACAAATGCATTATTTAATAAGGGAAAATGTTAAAAGGTTTTTATTTTGACAGTCTCGATGCTGAGATGAATGCTAGATTATTTTAAAGTCCACCATTATATATTAGTGTAGACGTTGGATTAGACGTTAGTTAGTCTTTTTGTCAATAGATGGCGTTATAGCGAACACAATCGCGCACGCATGTTGTATATTATGCATGTACATTGGGTGTTATTTTAATCTCAAAAACCTTTTATATTTAGTTGTTCGTATATGTGTCACAATCACAAATGATGCTCAATTTCCAAGATGAGTTGTTAAACAATTTCTTTAAGGAGTATCTGACATACTGAAGGCACAACGCCAAAAACTTGACAAGTTTGAAATCTACATTGACTAGAATCCTGGCTTAGAGATAGCTGCACCTTGAGACCAAGCAAGCTACTCTGCTTTAGATACTTTTAACTCTCCAGAATTATCCGACGTTCGAGTGGTCTCACGGCGTCCAGTCCATCATACTGTCATCGTTCTTCTGGGGCTACGTGGTCCTTCAAATACCGGCCGGTGCTATGGCGAGACGCTGCGGTGGGAAAGTGCTCATCACCATTTCTCTCTTCGTCAACTCTTTGACATCAGTTTTCATACCTGTAGCCGCTAAATGTGTGAGTACAATACAAAGTTTTCATTAACGACAATTCGACATTTTGGTATGATATTTTTTTTTTTAATATTCATTGATATATTTACGCGGGCGAAGTCGAGGGAAAACAGCCAGTTATAATTCTATTGATTATGATGAGTGTGCACAATGAAGAATATAAATAGAATTCAAATAGGGGTTGAATCCCATCTCAGAGTACTAGGGACAAAGTGGATTTTTCAAGCATTTTTCCTTAAGTGACAAGGTAAAATATAGATACATATTTAAAATTCCATTAAATTTAACAATGGTCCTTTTTCATAAGAGGATTATAAAATTAATTAATCACGCTTTAAATTAGACATTTTCCTCAAAAACTCAGATGTGAAAAGTTGAAGGGTTAGTTCAACCAGGAAAATTAATTAATGTGTTTTTCTTTCAGCCTTTCATTGTGTTTATAATTAATTAATGGTCTACAAAGATATATATAAAATTATGCACTTTTAAATTAATATACCGATTTTTTAGAATTTCGTACTTCATATCATTTTTTTTAAAATGAAACCAACTTTAAAAAAGTATTATACTTGATTTGAGAAGGCGAGCAATAAATTTTGATTGCCCGACATCAATGAAGATAATAAAATCCAATTGTTAATAATTACATATATTTTTTAAATAAATTTAACTAAATTGTCAGTTAAATTTAAAGGAATTTATCAAACGCCTATGTATATTTGTATTTTTAAGTTGATTGTAGTCAATTTTTTTTTGTAAAAACGTCATCGGCGTGATAGTTCAGATGATGTAATCTATTGATAAAAATTTAACGGGACTCCCTCGAGAATATACTCTTTCAAATTTAAAAATAAATATCAGCATCTGTCCACTATTGATGAAGATATGGCGGAATATACATTAATGCAGCAGAATTGAGAGTCGGTAAAAAAGTTATCGGTGCTACTGAAAAATGTAATGACGTATGGTCTATTGTTGAGAGGTTCTACGGCTAGCATTCAAGATACTATTAGTCTACAAAAGAGTTATATAATTTACGGTCTATTTAGAGAATCTCTTAGATAAATATTTAAAGGAATAAATATTTTGACTGTTGCCTCACAATACATCTATGAAAATATTATATACGCAAGAAAACATTACGATTCCTTCACAAAAAAAAAAGTATTCATAATCTTAACACAATAAATAAAAATGAACTTGCCGTTCCAAGATTTCAGACTTCAGAAAACCAGAGGATTATTTCTGGGTAAATGCATTGCTATCCTATTAATATTATAAAGGCGAAAGTTTGTAAGTATGGATGTATGGATGTTTGTTACTCTTTCACGAAAAAACTACTGGACGGATTTGGATAAAACTTTACAGCAATATAGGTTATACATCAGAATAACACATAGGGTACTTTTTACTGGGAAAACTTCTCACTCCCACGGGATACCGACTTCCACGCGGACGAAGTCGCGGGCGTCCACTAGTGTTCAATAAAGTTCCACAAAATGTAATTGACCTACCCATAAAAAAAAGAAAAAATCATGTAAAGAACATACTTATGAGTAAAGGCTATTATATAGTTGATGATTATTAAAAGGATCGCAATTAATGAAATTAATAGCCTTCGCTTTGATCTACAACGACTAATTATATGTAAACCTATGACCTACAGACTTTGAAAGTTGTATTTATTATTGTGATAATACATATTATTTTGGTAATGACATGATTCATGTAAATGTCATTACTTATGATAAAAAGCTGGTAAGTTTCGTTCGCTTGTTCTTCTTGTCGGCTAAAAGACGTCCTGAACAAGTGGTAGGGGAATTTTTTTTTTTGGACGGTTCAAAGTGCTTGTAATAAGCCTACTTGAATAAAGTTATTTTCATTTCATTTCATTATACTGAAAAATTCTTCAAAATCCACTTGGTCTCTGGCACTCTGAGATTTTTTCATTAAGAATATTTTTCAGTGTAGCATTGTGAATGCAAAATTTATTAAATATAATAATTAGAACAACTTTTCATCTTTATCGAAAGTATAAATATTTGCAAAAATATTTCATAGGCTGTTTGGGTGGATTGCCTGAACATTGATGAGAATATGCTCTGTAGCAAAAAAGAAACAAGTGCTTGAAAGATTCGTCATTCCCGTTAGGTCCTGGGTAGCTCAGGTTAGAGCAGTCGCCCGGGTTGCGAAAGGTCATGGGTTGGGTGCAGATTTTTTTATAATGTTATGATAGTCAAAATTATTATATTTGATCAATTTTGTACTATGGATCCTATTCTGATAAATAAAGGCCTGGGGTGGTGGACCTAAAAGCAATTTTAATCAAAGATAAATAAAATTATTAAAGAAAGTTACACAATATTGCCTCCCAATCTCTGTAATCAACGAGATCAACATTTTGAGAAAATACAAAAAATGGGCCATCGCCTATGGATTAATCATTAAGGATTCTATATTCTCAGTTCGTGTCCTTTTCGCGCAGTCGCGCTTGGTTTTTTTTTGTTGAATGATATTCTCATTTGTATTCTTAGGGTGGCTGGCAACTGGTCTGTGCTTGCCGTATATTACAAGGACTGACTCAGGCATTCGTGTACCCCTGCATGCACCATCTGATCAGTCAGTGGGTGCCATTGGAGGAGAAAGGTCTCTTGAGCACTTTAATTTACGCAGGTTGGTATAAATATTTATCATAGTCAGGTAATCAATTCCCTCTCATCACACTTGTTCCCACTGCAAGGACTCAGGCCTTCCTTATATAAGGTTAAAGAGGATGGGCCAAGAACCTCCACGCTGGTCCAATACGGATTGGAGGGTATTAAAGACTGCATATGCAGATAATAATTTTTTGGTCTCCCATCCCGTGGCCGACCCTTGCGAAAGGCCGACTGAACAACAAGGATCGTGGGATGCGGCACTTATCCACCACGCCACTGAGCAATTCCCACTATAGGAGTATAAACCTTACCTATAAGATAATCACAAGTAGAGCGATTCATGAACTACCACGTGGACCTACTTCGCATTGATGGGAACTAACAAATGGAGATGCAGCTGAAGCATACCTTCTTTCAAAAGCATGGAGGTACCCCAAATTTATGTGTATTTGGCCACCCATCAGATGATTGATCAATGCGTAAATATAATTAAAACTGTTGCACATTAGTAGCACTAACCACAATCGAGATCCTTGTTACGGATTTAAGTGTGGAAAAAACAACCAAGTAATCTGCTTTCCTGTTCTCGCTTCAAAAATTCTTAAATGCGAATCTTTGCGGAATAAACTGAGAGAATCGAGTGCCAAAATGCAGATCTTTACATACTTGTTTTGCTATTTTGACGTCCATAACACTTTTCATTCAAGTTTTTATGGCTTCTGACATGAGTTTCCGATAACACGTGATCTATCAATTCATGTACAAATATTGGCTTCAATGATAATGTTCGGAAATATAATTATTATATTATATTTTCTTAATAAAAAATGCTAAAAAATTACGAAAGGTCGTGGGTTCGATTCCCATCTCAGGGTGTCAGGGACCAAGTGAATTTTTTAAGCATTTGTATTAAGAAGAAATATAATGAAATAAAACATGAACCACTATGCGGGCCATTGCAGGTTTACGACTGCAGATGCAACTAAAACCATTCCGAAGCACGGAAAAGCTTATATAGACAATAAAGTTTTGGTCACCTATCCTCTGATCGTTGTTAGTGAAATTCGTAGTCCAAACAACAGCGCCATTTAACTTCTCCTACACGTAATTTTTTTTCAGGCGGCCAATTAGGTATTGCCATCCAGTTACTAGTGGGAGGCCTAATCGCCTCTGCCTTGGGCTGGCCTGCTATTTTTTATATTAACGGTTCATTAGGAGCAATATGGATAGTGGCGTATCTCTTACTCGGATCAGCTACTCCTGAGCAGTCTAAGTTTATATCTGAAGACGAGTTGATTTACATTCAAAGGTCTTTAGGAAGAGTCGGGGAACAGAAAGTAAGTACTGTGAAAAATGTCATTAACACGTGTATTCTTAAGTATAGTAGGTCAAAGTATCTCTTTATTTGTGGATAATCTTTTAGTTTTAACAACCTAGTCGAAATCGGGGAATTCACTCGACGGGCATACCCGCGGGCAACTTTGTAAACATGTCCGCAGACCGCCTTATATAGGCGTGTCTGACTACTGTAGAACCGTCACCGGCATTATACAGACATATAGTGAATGCCCGCTAAGTCGTATCGAATGCAAATGACAAATTATTGTATTGTCACCTGTTATCTAACACCTTTAATTTGCTGTATATGAATAGAATCAATTGACATATTAACATGCCTACAGAAGGGGAATCAATCGTAGATTTTCACGACTAAATAAAAGGAACTATTTATTGATTTTAAATATGATTTGTATTCAATCATCTTTTATAATAAGAGTTCTTGAGCTGCAATGGAGTTCTAATTCGTGCTTACAGCAGAAATAAATTGAAATAAATTATATTTCAATAAGTTCATTGAAAATACTTTTCCGATTCCAATTGTCTAATTTTTTAATTTACTCTTGAGAACATTTTTCATATTCCATAAGAATGGTGAGGTCCTTATAACCATATTACTATCGATTTCTTCAACTGTAAATTTTAGTTTGTTTCATATTTCTAGATTATTTTTATCGAACTAGGATATAGACTCTATTTTTTGTTTACGTTTTAAAATAATTTTATCGGAATTGATGCCTGAAAATATGGATAATTTAGACTTAATATATTCTATACTATTAAAACTAAAATATTTAAAAAATACAATTCAAATGACAGGATTTATTATTTTATGCTACGGTATTTAACGTTCCATAACAATTACGTTTACGGTCTATCATAACTATGACACAAAATACCTATTAACACTTGTTTGTCTGTTTACAATAAATTTTAAGCACTATGCCGTGCCGTGGAAGAAGATCATGACCTGCGTTCCTTTCTGGGCCGTCATAGTGGCACACTGCGGTCAAAACTGGGGCTTCTTCACTCTGATGACTGAGATGCCATCCTACATGAGCAAAGTTCTTGGCTTTGAACTTAAAAGCGTGAGTAATCAATATATGTACCAACTAAGCTGACTAATTTATATAGTACCTAATAAAACTGTATCCCTATGTAATCAAAATCTATGTTTACTTCTAAAATCTATGCACAATCCATGGTGACACAGTGGAGATACCAATTGCTTCATTGGAATACTAGTATTTATTTATTACTCGATAGGTAAAAGTTTGATTTACGAAACAGTCTTAGAAGTTATGGTCGTATTGTTGTAGTCGTATGGTCGTATTGTTGTAGTCGTATGGCCGTAGAAATTGTCTCTTAGAGTACACTAAGTTGACCTTATTACAATATCAGTTGAATAAACGGTCTAAGTAAATTTTTCATGATTTCATAAACTCATCCTAATTTTAAAAGAGGCCACCGAAACGTTAACAAAACAAAGAGCAAAAAATGTATCCACACACATCACGAACGAGATAAACACAAAATCCAGACAACCAATTTATACGTCAGTCGGTCCGTTGTACAGAATGACTTTGAAATACGCTGACCTCTATTTTTTAGACCTAAATTACTCTGTCAACATCTCTTTTGATTTGTGAGCATGCAAATGATTGCACAAAAGTTGCAAGTCATGTATTCAACGTATGTAATAAAGACATCTATTTCGTTTATACGAAAACTACCGCGTATATTTTAACGCTGTATTTTTTTTTCAAAACTAAATATAATTACGTGTAAGTTGATTGTAACGTGAAAATTATATCCTGTAGAAAATATTTTTTAAATAACAATAGAAAATCAAATCAATCTCCGATAAGATTCAGTGTATGTATCATGCAGTATCATGAAAATATAAAGTAAAAAAAAAAACTAAACAGATTTCATTCGAATAGTAATTCATATATATACATATTTTCGTAGAAATCCTATCAGCGTACACTAGAAGATATGTTAGAATATCATGAACACAATCGGTGAAGCTACAATGAAATTTAAAAGTATATTTGTGTTGGAGGATAACCTTGGTGTGGTTATATGGCATTCTGAAATGAAATGAAACGTTTTATTCAAGTAAGCTTGTTACAAGCACTTTTGAATCGTCCAAAAATATTTTTTCCCCTACCACTTGTTCAGGACGTCTTTTAGCTGACAAGAATAACAATTTATTACTCGTAATAATATCTTATATATACATGAGCAAGTCGTATTAGTTACACCATTTAAAATTCGAGAAATGCTGGACCGATTCTTAGAAATTCATACGATGTAGTTTAATACGACATCAAAATTAAAATACTTAATACAAATAGCATCCAACATTAATTTCAATTTGTTTGAGAGTTTGTAGTGAAAGATTATTACATCTGATACGAGTATATCCGTCATAAAACAAATTTTAAGTCCTTCAAACTTCAACAACTAACAAGGCTTGCTGAGATCGTATATTGCTTTTAAACTTGTTTATAAGCTGCTTTGGCGACATTTGTGTGGGAGAACCGTTGCTATTCAGTATTAGTATCAGATGATATTATTATCTCTTTTGTTTTCAGTTTCGCTTTAATAAAATTAAAATGTTGAAGTTTATTTATGTCTGAAATCAATTATGTTTTGTTTATATATACCGTTAAATCAATTAGAGTTTTCGAAATAAAATTTTAACGAATCTAATCGATCATTTTTATAAACCCTTTTAAGCTCCTGAAAAAATCCATCGCCGTATTATTTTGTGGCATAAAATTTCGACGAAGTTAACTTCGTCAAATCAATTAAGCTTTATCTCTTCTTAAAAAAACATAGTTAAAATAATAAATACGTTCGATACACTTCCATTATTCTTTAATATTTATTGAAATTAATTAAATACATCCAGTTTTAGCTCGGTCGCGTAGTGGATAAGCGTCGCGACCCGCGATCGTTGTCGTTAAGCAACTTTCGCAAGGGTCGGTCACGGGATGGGTGACCAAAAATTATTATCACGAGTTACTCCGTGCTTCGGAAGGCACGTTAAGCCGTTGGTCCCGGTTGCATTAGCAGTCGTTAATACCTTCCAATCCACATTGGGCCAGCGAGGAGGGTCATGGCCCATCCTCCTTAACTGTCCATAAGGAAGGCCTGAGCCCCTGCAGTGGGGACGTAAAAGGGCTGATGATGATGATGATGATCCAGTTTTCATAAAGTAACATTTAATTTCCAGAATGGTGAACTATCGTCTCTTCCATATTTGGCCATGTATCTTTTAAGTTTCCCAATGGGATCAATGACTGATCTGATATTGAAGAAGAAATGGCTTAGCGTTTCAAACACAAGGAAGTTGTTCAATTCTATAGGTTCGTACAAATTGTTTTTCGAAAAACAGACTCACTAGGTATAACAGAAACTGCTTCTATACGTTTGAGTAACCATGAAAGATAAATTACTAACTTAAAATAAATGTTCAGATATGAAATTAAAGCCACTAAACATTTTAAGGGTGAGCAACTCGTTTGCTGATACCTTTTGGTTCAAGGTTCTATACTATGCATATTGTCGTAGTATACTCGAGTACTGTTGTACCATATAGAAACCTCAGTATGTTACGTATCAACAAGATTTAGAGTCGATTCAGGCAAAGTTTATTAGGGATCTTAATTATCGCACAATTGGTAACTTGTGAATTATGAGGATGGATCTTGTTATCATGATATAATCAGTCTGGGGGATAGGCGCAATTTGCTGGATATGACATTTCAGTGAAGAGCACTAACACACACAAACACACACTCAATTCGCGTATTATTAAGTATTTGTACATATTAGGGGTTAAAGTATGAAATTGCCGTTTTATTACAATTGAATTGACATAGAATCTTTATGATTTGAGGTTTTCGAAAGAAACTTTTTTCACATGGTTTCTATGATGTTCTTCTTTTAAAAAATGTGAAACATTTGAATATCGACTTTCAATTGTTTTTGTTATTCAACTTAGACAAGAAAGATGGATACTGCGAAAATTCAAGTGATTTTTGAATACGAGTTCCGACGCGGAAATAACGCGGCAGAAATAGCCCGCAATATCAATGTTGCGTTTTGAGAGGGGTCGGCTAATGAACGCACCGTGCGATTTTGGTTTAAACGCTTTCGTGATGGAAACTTCTTGAAGATCGAGCCACGAGGAAGACCGACCACACAGGTGAATAACGATGAATTAGGAGATATGGTGGAAGCCGATCCTAGTCAAACTACCCAGGAATTAGAGGCATGGTGTAACGTTACCTTACCCATAATATTGATTCATTTGCGTCAAATCAATAAAATAAAAAATACGAAGAATGAGTGCCTCATGGTTTGACTGATCTGCAGAAAGAAACGCGTGTTGAAACTTGTGTTGCCTTGTTGAATCGGTACAGAAATGAAGGAATATTGGGTCTAATTTTGACATGTGATGAGAAGTGGATTCTTTATGACAACCTTAAAGAAAAATGCAATGGTTGACCTCAGGTCAAATGCCACAACAGTGTCCTACAGCAAAACTTAGCAATATAAAGATAATGGTGACTGTTTGGTGGTCTCATCATGGTGTTGTTCACTATAGTTTTCTCCGATCTGGTCAAGCAATAACGGCAGATGTCTATTGTGCCGTACTCCGAACAATGTTGGCAAAACTAGCAATAAAACAGCCCAGATTTGGACAATTATCTACGTGACAAGAAGTCTTGTTCCCAGGTGGCAGTACAAAATGCTTTCACACAGTTTGTTTAGTCTAGATCCTCAGAGTTCTATCGCAAAGGCATAAATGATTATTAGATGGCAACCAATATAATTGTAACTATGTTGATTAAATAAATTTGTTAAAAATTAAATTATAAACAATTTGATTTTCGGTACAAATCGGCAATTTCATACTTTAACCCCTTATATTTATTATTAGGATAAAAACTTGCTGTAGATTTTATTTTTGAAATAAATAAAGTTCATTTATAATGTTCTACTTAATAATTTATGCGGGCGATGTCGCGGGAAAACAGCTAGTAGAATATATAATTCGTAAACATTTTCCGTTATTGTAGTAGTGCTCTTTCTTATTACACATTATCACCGTACAATTAAGAAGGTGATGCATAGTATTAGGCACTGATAATTACAAATGCTAAGGTTGTCTTCAATTATACTGCTTGGTGATAATGATTTCCAAAAATAAAGATTATTTTCTTGCAGGACTATTTGGACCAGCTATTGCTCTGATTGGACTCTCATATACATCAGCAAATAATCTCATATTAGCTGTCGTTATGCTAACAGTATCTGTTGGCGTCAACGCTGGCCAATACACTGGATATATGGTGAGTCAGTTAAACAAAATATATGGACCTACAAATATTTCCAAAGAAATCTCTAGTTATTTATAAGAACCACACGCTTAATAATGATTACGTTTAATTTAAGATTTCCAGAGGAATGAGTTGAGATTCGTTGATTTTTTTCACTTGTAATGTTAAATAAATTATTATATCAGTAACATGCAATTTCATCTCGATCTTTACATATTGAACTAGTATCTGTAAATAGAGAACCGGCATCAAAATTGTAATGAGCTGGAAAGTTGATAATTCAATAATAAAATGTAATTAATCGATTAATTGATCAAAATTTGTTATTATGCAATAGCAAGTGATAACAAACATGCCCAAACAACAAGACCCCGAAACATATGACGTAATCTAAACTCTGAGCTCGTATTAGCGCTTATGTCTTTACATAAGTTTGAGAACTGAGATGTTTTGCAGTATTTTTGAATTCTTTAAAACATTTGTTGTTTCATTGAGATTTCATCAGATGAAACTAAAATAAAATAGTTACTATGGGAAAGTTTGGGCTTAAGCATGAATTTTTATAAACAATTTCAACAGCTTACATAGAAAGCCTCCACTCAAACCAGATAACGAGTGCGTCATAATAGTCATTCTTACAAAATTGATGCTAATAAAAAATCGAGACAACAAATCCCAGCCAACGTGAATTTGGCTTCCGTACAAAAAGTCCGAGCAATAAATCAAAAAAGCCGACTTGTTTGAGGCGATCGAAACAATAGAACGACATGACAATAATAGCTCCCTAAAGAGGGAAACGCGTTCCAATATTTTTCTCTTCTTGACTTTTTAAATACAATGGCAGGTGAGCCTACGATTAGGAGCCCTTAACGAGCGGAACATAAACCGAATATGAATTTGTTGTTTCACCCTATAAATCATAAAAAACTTTGAACAAACATGTCTCGAGCATTGAAATCGTGCTTGACTACGCCTTTATAATTGCTGGTTTCTTGATGAGTCCAAAATATTACCATCGAAAATTTACATTTGACATAGTATTACTACTACACTCGATTTACTAGCATAATGTGTTGATAATCAATAAGAAAAACAGTACTGTAAAAACTGTAATATTTATTCATTTTAGTTATTTTGATTGCCTCAGAACAGCAGTATTTGTTTAAGAAGATAAAATTAAAAATCACAAGACCATTTAATATGTTCATCTATATATAATATCGCGCTGTGTAATCAACATCTAATATTGCCAATATCTTTTATAGCAAAAATATTAAATTAAATTTATAAAAGACATTATACTATTGATAGCTAAATATTTTTGGAAATCATATTTTTTACATGTCGATTTAGAACTGAAAAAAGAAATAATGATTCTTGTCACATCCATAGTCACTATACGAACACACAAAACTGACACAATATCATATTTTATGCTGACCTTTATGGATTTGGCAGCGAAAACGACACGAAATTATAGTACTCATTTTTATTAAAAAAAATGTTATCATGGCTTTAAGAAAATTATCTGTTGATATAAAAGCGAGATTAATAAACAAATAATTTAATATTTGTTTATAATTTTCAGTGGATCTTATTTTTGTATCTTTTTTTTGTGAGTAAAAGCAGTTGTAAATGAATACGCCTCACTGCTGTTCTTCTTTTATAAAAGTTTCGTTCACATCACTGCGTCCGAGTATTGTGTTTTAGACGTTTTCTCTTGGTAACCTCGGTGGCGGAATTTCTTACGTGCTAGTTTTAGGATGTTGCCACCTATCACGTCGGTGCTTCGATTCCGGAATTTATCAATACAGAAATTTAAGTTTCTTTTTGCTCGGCTCTAAATTGTTCAGATCCTTTCGTTGTATCTGATTTGTAACAAAAGGGCTTAGGTTATTGAGTTTCTGAGCGATGATTGTGATATTGTTATTTATTTTTTTAAATCTATGTTCATATTAGTTTTTTATTTTTGCTGCGTTCAGAAATATTTTGTTTCTCAAACAAATGCTTTTACAAATGCAAAGAAACAATTCAATGTTACTTCACATTTATGGAATCCTGAAGTCCTGGAATCCTGATAGCGTATTCACGCTAAAGTTTTACTGTTGAAATACTTCGTAATTTGTAAAATGTAAGTGAGCGATTCTTGTGAAGTTTCTTCGGTGTGCAATCTCGACAGAGTTTGCGATCGCAATATTACAGAATTTGGTTGCTAACTCATAACGATCGTGTTGTAACGTCTCCATGTCGACGAAGAGCTCGTGATAAAAATGAGCTTTCTAAAGCTTGATATTTTAGTATGTATACTCTTTACATCAATTTTTTTTTGTATATTGACCACACTTACATCTATTTTTACAGGTGATACCCAATTCAATAGAGTATCTGTTTTTTTTTAATAGTTAATAATAACAAGTGTTATATAATGCTACTTTTATGAATTCAGGAAGTGAGAACGAGAAAAGGTCTTTTTTTCGGCTGTATGGTTGAGGGTGCGCAGTGCACTACACGCCAGCGGAGTCTTTGTCATTAAGTTTGTCCGACCTCTAGGTTCGACCAGCAGACGCGGTCGACGTATTTGTCCGGGACATTAAATTCTATCATACTTAATATAAAGCTTAATAAAGTTCTTGCAAAACTTTGTCACGAACTCTTAAATTAAACTAAATATATGCTTTTTGTTAGGTCAAGTTCGTAAAGTTTTAGAATTATCGATATCAAACAATCGATATTCGTAAAATCTCAGTGATAAATGGTTCCTCGGTTAGTTGGATATGCGCTATTTATCGATATACCATGCTATGTTGTCTGATCAGTGGCATCCTTTTTCTCACTACTAATTGTTTAACATTTTCGATGATAGTTCTATCGTTAATTACAATTAAATAAGTTATTTATACATACAATAATAAATAAATACGAGCAGCCAATTGAGAAAATTCGAGCCAGGAATTTTTTCTAAGGAATCACCCCTATAAGAAATAGAAAATTATTAGTGTTTCCACATGATAAAGATATCAAAAAATCACGAAGACTAAAAGTTTATTACATTAAATCTATACCAATTCAACTTGTTATACAAACAAAATCGTTCGAGTATATTTGGACAATTAAGTAAGACCTAAAATTACGTAAATTTGAAAATAAAATTCAGTCATGTGTGACTGGAAAGGCATTATTCCCCGATCAGACTTTTTATGGAAATCTACAAAACCAGAACGTTGGCTCTTCGTTTTTCAGTGAAAAAACATCAAATGTGAATTAAAACGGCCATCAGCATCAAAATATTTTATGTTGGATTTGTTAGCCACCTTTGTAGTTATTTTCATAAAACTCGTTGGCTGGGTCTAAACTTTAATCCCTACATTTTTAGTTGGTGCACATCGATTTGGCTCCTAACTTCAGCGCTATCCTGATGGGCATCACCAACTTCTTAGCCAACATTGTCTCCATCATCGCTCCACTTGTGTGTGGCTTTATTGTCACCGATGAAGTAAGTTCCTCTCACTCCTAAATACAATAGAACTGCAATAAGAAAGTTTACACATAACTTTCATTGGAAGATAGGAACTGCATGCAGGTTTTGTAGATGTAGTGCATGTAAAGGCTGATAGGGGGCGCTATTTACTCTTGCATTTCATAATTCGTTACCAGGACTTTTAGACGTGTCCGCATGTAGTATACAATGCAACTTATCAACCAATGAAAATAAGGCTTTAGTAATATATCGTACAACTTATATCTTTTATGGCTTACTCGAAGTTTTAAAGGATAAGGTAGACAACTACACATTTGACCGTGATAAATCTGGCAATATGATTGATTGAAAAATAAATTGTATAAAGATCGGTAGTACTTTCATTATTCTATTAATTCATAAGTGAATTGATAAACTAAACTTGTTAATATAATTTACTGCATGTTATAATAATTTTACTTATCATAATACTGACACTGACTCCCAAACAACTGGTACGAGGAATGTAAAATTTTTCACACTTGTTCTTCGTATAATATAAGCCAAGATAAGATTCCTACAAAATTTCACTTCAAATAAAACTCTGTGGGGACCTGTGCTCGTGTATTTGTAACTGTCGTATTTTAAATTGCAGACAGATCCAGTTGAATGGCGTAAAGTTTTCTTCGTCGCTTCAGGCGTGTATTTCTTTAGTAATCTATTCTTCATAATTTTCTCATCCTCTGAGAAACAATCTTGGAATGAACCGAAGGAAGCCGATGTTGGTACGTAGACAAGTTTTCTAAAAGCAGCCTCTTATGAAATTAAGACAAAATATAGCTGATAACTTTAAATACAGTCAGCAATACGTCAGGTTATACATAACTTTTAAAAAAATTATTTTTAACTATAAATATTTGGGGTAGAATACATAATCGCTTGCGAAAATTTGGCGTAGGTATTGTGGTAAACTTGCAGCGGTATGTACGCTTTTAAATAATAGAATTGCTGATACTGATTTTCAAATCTATAACATTCATTAGAACTTAAAGTTATCATTAAATCTAAATGAATGTTTATGCAACTGGGTGCTAGTGTTGTAATTTAAAATGGCTGTGACAAAACGGAGGATCCATTAAGCACATGAAATGACTAAAAAATAGAATGCACCTTGATAAATTACAAACACAATATGGCCGCTGTCACAAATTTGCTACTTGCAACTTACGTACTATTACAAAACTACCGAAAACCGTGTAAAACTATCGAAGATTACATTCTATAATATCTAAACATTTTGAATAAATAGCTGAAATAGAGTAGAGTAGGTTGCTAGTCTTAAAAACACTATTTTACTCTGTTAGGAACTAATATGTTAATTCAAGAAATTTGATTTTTTTGTATAATCCGATGTACTATTGATTGTAGTTTATATTTGAAATATTTACGTGTCAATACTAATATTATACAGAGAAAATAAAATTGTTTGTTTCCATTGATAAGACTCCGAAGCTACCAGACCGATTTTAATAATTTTTAACCGCCTATTGTACAATTAAGATTTTCATGTTTGTATTGTTCTATTTATATCTATAGTGTGTTGTACAATGAAGTATTAATAAATAAATAAACAATCTACTTCTTACGCGAGTAACATGGCGTAGGCTATAATTCACACAGGAAATATCTCGGGAATAAGTAGTACTCACACAAACAGTATCCATTAAAAGAATTTATTTAAACGAAACATTTTTTTCAGAATTGGAAGCAGTCGCATACGAAAAGAAACTTTGACTTGTTTGAAAGAAAAAAAAACATATTAGCACATCATAATGTTTAGATAAAAAAATCGATTAAGATTATATTTTAATAGTCAATGTTGTAAGATAGTGATGACAAGTATAAGAAGCTATATAATTTTCAATAACAAGTTGGTCTGAATCACCACGCAAGGCAATTTCTTCTCAGTTATGTATGATACACTTGAAAATTTCTAGATCAGCCAATAAATAAATAAATACATCAACTGTTACAAGGACAAAAAACATTAATTTGCATGTTTGCTCGATGGTGACTCATTTTCTTTATTTGATTGTATGAATGATATTCCATGCATAATACAGAAGTTTATCCCAGCAATGGGGAAATTGGAAGGGTGAATTATGTAGTTAAATAAGGCGCTCTTTTCAATTTTAAAATCTGTGGTGAGAACTTAAGAAATAGTCCTGACATTTTTAGGTGAACTTGATTTTGAATGTCATTGTTTATTTTTATTTAAACATTTTATAATGAATACACATAACCGAGTATTGTAGTTGAAATGGATTGAAATAGTGTACAATATCAAATAAAAATTTAACATTTTAAAACTCTCAGTTCTATGGAATGAACAACAGAACATAGAGAGAGATGAAATATTATTTATTATTGTAATGAATAAGTTAGGAATGGTTCACGAATAATAACTTTATGTATGTACCGGTATATTTCCTGATATCTGACTAACAATATGTTGTAGCTCCTTTTAGAATGTACATAGTTATTTATTTACATTAGGCTTTTTGTAAAATAAAAATATAAAGAAGATCTTAGAAACGGTTTGTTTCTTTTTCTCCACTCATTTTGTTTTTGATCCCCGATAGCGCAAATAGGGATGATGACTAATTTTTGTTTGTTTGCCCGTCAGGTAGAGTGTTAAAAAATATTAAACAAGTATTTTTTAATTTTTTTCGTAATCATAAAATTACGGCGTTACATTGAGTTGAAATTTCGCATGACGTCACGTTAGAGTACGTTTTTTACTCAACTGTGACGTAGCGAGCCCCCACTCCTCAATTTTAATGCCTGTTATCTAAGCTATTTCTTGTTAAATTGAAGTAAAAAAAAAAATACGTACCTATCTAATAATATTTTTCGATTATCTGACTGACGGACTAACTAGAATTGCATTTTTTTACCCAGTCATCATCCCTATTGGAAGAGTATCGAAGTAAAAATCAAGGAAAAAATGTCACGCAAATCTGTAAATCTCGACCACGTGTGATTGGTGCACGCGAAATTGCGCAAACTAATGTACTCGGAAATATTAAACGTTAATAGTAAATGTTGTAAAAAAAAATTGATATGCTTTGAGATTGGGTTACGATAATTGCCTGTTACCAAAATATGAACAAGCTGTTGAATCTGCCAAAAGATTGCCACAACTAGGCATTTGCAAATAACATTCTTCTTATTGCATCTATTAGAACCATCGCCGAGGTGAGATAATCAATAATTGTGCACTTATAATTATAGTCCCTTGAGGCACTGGAGTGAAATTCACATTGAAAAGGGCTAGCTTTAAATACAATAGCAGAATGGGCAGATTAAGAAAGGTTTATGTTATGCGTTAGAAAATTATTTCATAGAACTTAAAGCATCCTAATAGTGATTGCTGAAAGATCAGATTGCATGATTTAGGCTAAGTATAGGTAAAGGTAATTCACTAACAGTACTACTAAATAAATAAAAAGCTTCATTTTTTACTAATAACAAGTCATGGATTTAAATGGCAACTGAAATAAACCGCTACTTAAGAAATCGTTTATTACGTTAATAAAAAACAAGCTTCCGTATTTAAAATTGACAAAGTGATCAGAGTATCTCAGATACTACGAATAAAATACGTTTTCAAACCGACGAAACTGCACCGTGCTCAAAAATAAATGAATAAGGAAATGCTTTACATTTTCACCACTTGCATTACGACTGACTAGACTCCCGCGACGGCAAAGATACACATTGGGGTTCAATCGGAAGAACAGTATTTACTTTCCGAAGAAATGTAAAGAAATTTGCACATAAATTGCAGATCTTATGAAAGTTTAAATTGTATTAATATGGAACGAGTGGCAATAGAAAGGAGCAACTGTGTTTCAGGTAAATATACAGAAGCAGTAAGACAAATTAATGAAAGAAACTACTGTTTTTAATGTATATAGGGCCTATGCCCTATGATAAGACCATGACTAGGAAAAAGACCTTTATGAGCATAAATATGACAGAAAATTATTTTTGTAAGACAGAACATAAAAGTTACATGGTACAGAAGTATTTAATTTTTAACTCCTTATCATCAGTATTTTAAATCCTGTATTAAATATTTTCAAAATTTGAACACTTTCTTGTTTCGTTCAGTTGGTTAACACACAAAGTGTACTGTCGTATCGTTTACTGTACAGCCCAGCGATACTTTCAATCCAATTGCTCGCTTGAAAACAGAAAATATTTGTACAGCTGCTTCAAATTAATACGACACAGTGAATTCAAGATGTTCCGCAAATAAGAAGCCTAGTTCAATACGATGCAACTCTAACATTATTATGCATATTAATATTTAATGATTGGTCGTTTATAGTACCTGTATTTCGATGTACACGTAATTACTAAAATAGGATAATATTTTAATAAAATAAACATATTTTCAATGCTTCTTTATAATTTATCGTTAATTGTTAAATTTTAAAATCTAAATAATTATAAACATCCTCGTCTTTTTTTATATACTTTCTCTCTCTCTGGAAGGAGATGAAGGAGCGTGCGTTGAGCATCTCCGCGATTACAAAAACAATTTCTGGTTATATATCACTTTTATAGTAGCAATCGCCTTTGGAACGAATGATGACGTGAATGAACAACAAACATTATAAAACATCGCAGTTAGCATTCAACTCTGCGTTTGATAGTACTCATCATCATCATCATCATCATCATCAGCCCTTTACGTCCCCACTGCAGCTGCTCGGGCCTTCCTTATGGATGGTTCAGGAGGATGGGCAATGACCCTCCACGCATTGGAGGGTATTAACGACTGCAAAATGCAGCCAGGACCAATGGCTTAACGTGACTTCCGGAGCACGGAGTAGCCCGAGATAATAATTTTTGGTCACCCATCCTGTGACCGACCCTTGCGAAAGTTGCTTAACGACAACGCGGGCCGCGGCGCTAATCCACTACGCCACCGAGCTACTACTCTATAGTACTCAATAACTTTCAAAGATGTATACGACATCGTTAATTTATTATCTTAAAAAGAAAACTTCACGGTAGCAAACTTTTTTATTGTGTTAAATATTTGTAGCGTGAAGTTAGTGATTATCTTTCAAATGTGAAATTGAAAGAGATTGCGATATATTAGACAGACACACAGTCAAATACAGCACTTTCAAAGGATATTAGTTATAACGACATAATAGACGATGTAACATAATATGCCAATTAAATCTCGGTCTACGTCAACACATGAAAATCTAATTAAAATTTATTTGACTGCTGCAAATTAGCTTACGTCCTAATGTACGTAACCTAATTTTGTTGGGATACAGAAAACATAATAGTTTATGTTATCTCTAACCCAACAAAATTAGGTGGGTTCCATCCACTATGTAATAGTTTAACGGCCAGTTGCACAAACGGCCATTAAAATTTTCATTTGTTTAAAGCTACATTACCATACAAATTTAACATTCATAAGTACTTAATGGCGTCATTAAATCTTAATGGAAATTCGTGCAACAGACCAAAGTGTCCAAATAAAACTGTTACCCTTTGCATACGAAGTGTTATTCTTCGTTCACGTTATAGCGTATAAAAGTAACTTTAAATAAAAACTGAAAAGAAAACAATATCCAGGGATCATGTGTAATATAGTAAAGGGAATTGTTCAATTTTGACTTTTGGTGGACAAGCTAATTAGTAAAAACTATGTAAACAGTAAAATATTATTAAAACTGAAAAAAATATTTTTTATACTCT